TTACATCATATCATAAAGTTTATCACGATAAAAAAAAATCATCCGAAATTAAGCACCCCCTATAACAAAAAAGGGGTCTTAATTTCGAAACTATATGGTAATTTCGGTTTGGAACCCTAGATTTCTGCCCTTATTTATAAATAATGCCGTCTTTTGCTGAACAACTATATTTACAATTTTCATATAGGCTCATCCCATAATTTTTGATATATCAAAACTTAGGGCGTAACGTGAAAGTCAAAAAAAGGGCTTTATTTTCAAAGTAAAAAAAAGTTTCATGTAAAATTAAAGCTAATAAACGATTCTAGTTTAAGATTGGGTTAGAATTATGTAATATTTATTAGTGAAATTTCACAAGAAACCATTTTTTAGAATTTTTTTTTTTGTAAAAATATTGTGATTTCGATTTTATCTACGTTACACCTGATCTTGAAATTCAATTGGTCAAAATTACAATTTTTTGTGCGCTAGGTAGTGTTCCGCAAAAAAGGATCCGAACGGATTAATGGGCGTTCACGTAGCATTTCACTAAGGGTACCAGAACTGAAATTGTACGTATAATTAATATGGGAAATACACTACCAACGATGGGCTCCGCTTGTCTCTCACGTGTGCCTGTAGCCAGCAACAGCCTTTCAAACTCGTTACGTAAACCGGATCCCAGGATCCGGATCCGGTTTACGTAACGAGTTTGAAAGGCTGTTGCTGGCTACAGGCACACGTGAGAGACAAGCGGAGCCCATCGTTGGTAGTGTATTTCCCATATTAATTATACGTACAATTTCAGTTCTGGTACCCTTAGTGAAATGCTACGTGAACGCCCATTAATCCGTTCGGATCCTTTTTTGCGGAACACTAGCGCTAGGGGGTTTAAATACTACAATACTGACACTGCTTGGATTCAAAATCATGTCAGATCAAATTGTAAATCGTGGACTGTTAATTAACAAAGGAGGAATACAACCTGCAAATTTACCAATATGCGATTTTGAAATACAGCCTGAAACTATAGAAGATGCTCGAGTAAAACTTATGTTTACAACAAAACATATTGATTCATTTTTATTGAAAAACCATATTGATCCTTCTATAATAAATTATGAAGATGATTACTGGATTTCTGATATTGGTTTTGCCGGTGATGAAAGTTCTTTAACAGAAAAATTATCTGTTTATATGGGAATTTTATTCTTACGAAAAAGGTTGATTTTTGATAATAAAAAAATCAAACCGTCCGATGAGCTAAATAATGAAATGAAACTGGCTCTGAAGCAAAACAATCCCTACCATGAAGTAGTAGAAGTATTTAAAGACTATGGATATTTCTTGCCTAAAAAGGTCATTCTTGGTCATAAATTGTACAGTATGACTAATTTGATCGCAAGAGAAGATTCACCAGAGCAGCACTTCCTTGAATCAGAATTGAAAGCTTTTAGTGATTTTGCAAAACTTGAACGTAACTACATTTTGAATCAATGGTAGGATCTTCTAAAGTCACATAGTTTTGATACGTCCTTTCTAACATCAATTAATGGTGAGAATGTTATGAGAGATGAACTAAAAGATTGGGTGTTATCTTGTTTAAAAAATGATATTAGTTCTTTACAAATCATAAGTTGGGAACAATTATATCCATTATATGAAATATTCGATGAACCACTTAAAAAAGAGATAAAATTTATACTTGGATCTGATGAACTAACGAAAGAATTTGGGGTCAAAGAAAGAGTACTTATTGCAGGAGAATTTCCAATCAAGGCCTCTACAGACTATTATTGTGTAAACTATCCTTCTCATCTGAATTCCGCAATTATAAAATCTTTGGAAAACTCGTAACTCAAGATGACAGACAAATCAACGCAGTAATTAAGTTTCAATCTATGAATAGATTTGGGTTCACAGTGATAATCGATGACTTAAATGACTTCAATATATCCGAGTAAGCGTTGTTTCATTATTTTAATTTACAGTATTTGCATGGTGTCGTATTTATTTTGTGCCTATTGTAGGTCCATGAATTTGAAAATAATTTGGATATTGATTGGATTACCCTCGGAGATCGGATTTTATAGCACAAACACACGAAACATTCATATACTTGCGTTGAACAGCTGTTCATCCGTACATGATAAAATTTCATTGAAGGTTCCTAAAAATCTGCCGACAAGCTCAATTATGTGTACAAATCTTACATATCTTTTATCAGATAAAAAGAAAATCACTGCCAATATCCAAAATTATTATAATAATAGAGTCAATATATTAATAAATGAGGATTTTGAACAAGATGTGAAGCAATCTGGGTATGACGTTGAAATCGAGAACGATGAATTTATTCACATTGATGATTATGAGAGTAAAATATCCAGAGAAAACCAAGAAGTTCGATATTTGCTCCAATGGTGTATTATTTTTCTTCCAGAAAATCTTCAAACCAATATCAAATCTGACACAAATGATACAATTATTTGCTTAAATACAATTGGCCAACCTATTTATACCACATTCAAAGAAGGTAAATAAAAATTTCAATGAATTTATCAAAACTAATGGTTTATTAATACGTTCAACATTTCAGAGAATGAAGCCCAACGACCTGTAATTCTCAATAATAAGATTTTATCCACTAAAAGAGTTAGCGGGGTAACTAATATTGAATGGATCAGGAGGATGATAAAAGATGGTCATATTTATTGTATTGACCATGAAGAGTTTGGAAAGTCGACATATGTTGGGTTTGGATGTTCGGGCGTAATTACAAAAACTCAATGGAAGAAGAGAAATATAACTATTATCTTAAAACAAATTGTACCCAATGATATGTTGTCTGAATCGGTCAGTGAGGAACTCACTAAGGAGGTAAATTTATTTATTTTTCATGCACAACCCTAATTTTTTTTGATTGAATTAAAGCTTTATACTTTATCTAAACAGATTAAAGCTTTTCTTTCCGTCCAATATTCCTCGACAAGTAAAATAGGTTATGATAATATTATTAAATTTTTTGGAGTATCAATAGATAGCGATATATTTTTTCTCATATTAGAGTACGCAGATCTTGGTAATTTGCAAGATTACCTGGTACAGAACAATACTTTGGAGTGGAAACAAAAGATTAATATTTCAAGACAGGTCACTCGTGGCTTATATTTTCTACACAAAAATGAAATTTTACATCGTGATTTAGTGAGTTCTCTATTTTTTTTCAGGTTTATCAATGGTTAGCCTACGTCAAAACTAATGCAAATAAAAAATTTATTTTAGCACATTAGAAACATAGTTGTTAAAGGTGATGAGGACTATGAATATGGCATTAGAATTCTTATTGCTGATTTTGGACTTTCTAAAGTTGTTTCTCGTCAAAGTATATCGAACCTAAATTTATGGATCCTGCTATATTAAAAGCATTTAATGCAACTTATGGAATGGAGTACAATTACTCGTCCGATATATATAGCCTTGGTACAATAATGTGGGTGATTTCAAATAATGAATTGTTTACTACGAAATATATAACGAATAGTTTACGGGAAAGGCCAGTACCTGGATCCACTCAATCTTACGTTGAACTTTATACGAAATGCCTGGATGATAACCCTGAAAATAGGCCCAACATTGAAAACGTTTATAAATCGATTCATGAAGAGGACATTATATCAGGAAAACTTTGGGAAGAGACAGAATAATAACAGTAGCCTCTAGATGCCAGTTGATTTTAGAATTGTGTTTTTCATGTTTGGTGTTTGGTTAATTCTATAAATTTTTTTTTCTAAATAAAGAATACCGTTATTTCGTATACAGTAACTTTGAAGTAATACCATACTCAGTATAGCATATCTAAAGATGGGTTTCATGATTCCTCTATCGTGCGCATTTTATCCCATCTAAATTTTATATAGGAAAATAAAGTATATTTAATTTAAGCCAAGGTGTATAATGCCAGGCAAAATTAAGAAAGAAAATGAATGAACATAATGATGAGAAGGGCGGGAAAATTTTTGGCAAATATCCAATATTTTCCGGAGGAAAAATATAAAATCAAAAAAATTATATCATGCGATATCATGCGCATTTTATATAACGTGCGCATTAATGCGCATTCATGCGCATTTTTCCCATCTCTAAGCATATCTTTCAACTGACAACATATTAAAAAAAATTTTTTTTTAGCTGAATATTATTAATAAATGTGCTTTCAATATTATAAACTAAACTAGATGAGTAATATTTGCTGAGTATTGCTCGAATACATAAACACGTGAATACAAGTCAACAAAGTTGATAGAGTTAATATTTAATATGTAAATTATATGATTCGGTATACGCTGTAATGCCGTTATGCTGTTTGTCGAAATGTCATAATAATTGCTTTGTGTCGAAATGCTGTAATGCTGCATGCATAGGAGAGTCTTCCTCAGACTGGCTGGTATTGTATAGTTTAAAATTTTGAATAAGACACTATAATAAATATCAGCGAAATAATACTGTCAGTAAAGTCATTAACCGGGCAGCAAGATTGCAAGAAAGCGATTATATGGATATTTGCCAAAAACTAAATTTGAAGACGCTGGATAATGGATCTTTAATCTTATAACTGGTTAAACAAATATTATTATTAAATCGAGATTAAACCGGATACGTTTCCGGATTTTATCTATACAAGAAAGAATATTTGGCTGAGTAATGCTCTAAGTAATTCATATTTATTGATTTACACTTACGCATGAATACGTGATATGTAGCTATAAAACTTTCAAGGCTATAATTTAGGGAATTGCTATTCGTACCCCCAAATTTGCTAGCTATACCCCCATACAAATTAACGTTTTTTTGAACTTTGAGCGAAGATAACTCGACAACCACCAAGTTAAATTCGACAAACATTTTTATTTGAATTCTATGCATTCATAGAATTCAAATAAAAAAAAGTTGATTGAATTTTGCCTGGTGGTTGCTGAGATATCTTCGCTCAAAGTCTTTAAACGTCAATAAAAACTCAATTTTTTTTATTTTTTTGAGCGAAGATATCTCGACACTCACCAAGCCTAATTCGATGTACTTTTTTATCTGAATCCTAAGAATTTGTAGAATTCAAATAAAAAATAGTTTGTTGAATTTGGCTTGATGATTGTCAAGATATCTTCGATCGAATTTTTAAAAAACTCAACGCCTGTAAAGCCAAAATTTTTTCCAATGTTTGAATGAAAGTATCTTAACAACCACTGGGTCAAATTCGATAAGTTTTTTTATTTGGATCTTGCAGATCCGTAGAACTCAAATAAAAAAAAGTTCATCAAATTTGGCTTGATGGTTACTGAGATATCTTTGCTCAAAGAATAAAAAAAAACTTGGTGCAGCTTCTATTCGTAGACGTTGAGTTTTTAAAAATTCTAATGAAGATGTCTTGACAATCATCAAGCCAAATTCAACAAACTTTTTTTATTTAAATTCCACAGATTCGTAGAATTAAGATAAAAAAAGTTCATCGGATTTGGCTTGGTGGGTGTCGAGTTATCTTCGCTCAAAAAATAAAAAAAATAGAGTTTTGATTGACGTTTAAAGACTTAGAGCGAAGATATCTCAGCAATCACCAGGCAAAATTCGATGATGTTAATTCAATTCGGAAGTCTTGTAAATTACATCGCATCGTAAAATATATTAAACATTCAAGAAAATCCTAATTTATTAGATGTAAAATAAGATTAGTGATTACTTTTGAATTACATTCAAACAGAAATATATTTTCTGAATATTTTTTAAATATTTCTAGTATATAATCTTGAATGTTTTTGGAACATAATATTTTTTTTTTTTTTGTAAAGTAGCATTAATGCTATTCTAACTCCGGCAACCCTAAAACTTAAGAAAGAAAATATAAAAAAAAATAGAATCCACATAAGATCAAATGTTTTATTCACTTTCATCACATATTTATAATTGCGTTAAATAATGGTCATAAATATTATTTTGAGACATAAATATTAAAGAGGGTAATTATTAATTTACAAAATGCGAGCATAACAGATAATGGCAATAATTATGATTTTGATTTTATGTCTCTTATTTATTATATTTTATTTAACATTTATATGCACACATCATTTGATTTTACTCTTTCACAAACATAAAAATAAATAGATTATATTGTTGGATCAATAATTACGCAATAAAAATATGAATATTAATACTAAAAAAAAGGTCATGAATTTGCTAAAATGATTTTAAGAACATGTCTATATAGTTAACTTTATCAATTTATTATAAATGTATGAAAATTGGTTTAGTTATTAAGTAATTGAAGCATTTATTAAAAATTTTGTCATCAAAAATAGCACATACGTACAGTATGTATATACGTAAAAATTTTTTATAAAAGTATATTTTAACTATCACATACAATAAGGGTATAACAAGGATTATAGAATTTTAAATAGAAAAACGAATAACGGGACATATCTCTTATATTCATCATGATATACGAATATCCAGAAGTTTAAATCTCCTTTAAAAAACATAAACGATCTTAAAGTCTGTTTAAAAAAAGGACATATAAATCATAATACATTCATTCTTCAGGCTGTTTTGGGCCCAATGTCAGAAGAATCACAGTGATATTGATTTAAAAAATAAATAGTGCAAAAGTAGAAAAATTTGCTTTATTGAAAAATCGGGCGTTACTTTTGATGACTATTGTACATATTGGATCGTTGTGGCTGATTAATGTGCCATGAACCTGGTACACACTCAAGAATTGCTCATACATGTGACCATTACGCAATACTTTGTGTGTTGTGAGATATAAAATATGGCCCTCACAGATATCAACTACACTAAAACTAATCCAAATCAACCCACTATACCACCAATCTCTATCCAACCCTAATGGTGGAAGACACGAAAGTAGGTGTGGAAAGACTTGGTCCGAGTTATTAGGGCCAAATAGAGCTCTAGACTACGTCACGAGTATAGTTGTTAGACGAAACCTTGAGGTTTCGCGCTGACGAAATGCGAAACCTAGTTTCGTCTTTCGTCAACTAAAA